CCCTTCCACTCTCCCGCGTCTGCCGTCCATCGCGCCGCGCCCTTGCGTCGCGCCTGTTCTTCCCATCCGCTCTCCAGAGCACCAAGCTGGCGGTGTACGAGGAGCGCCTGCAGAACATCGTCCACAGCACCGCGCACCTGCCAGAGCAGCTGGCCTCGACCGGCAAGGCGCGCCCTGGCGTAGAGTGTAGCGCGGGGGCGGCGGCGCACTGGGTGGAAGTGTGGCAAGGCGCCGGCCAGCAAAGCCTCATGGCTCGGCGGCTGGCCATCCGTCCCCGTGCGCTCGGCCCTATTGAGTGCTGCGTCCCGTCAGCGCTGCGCCCCCTCGCACCCCCTGCTTTGCTCCCGCAGGTCGGCATCACGGGCAAGCAGATAGCGCGGCTCATAGGGCAGGTCTTCCTGCAGCGCAGCGCCGTCAACCTGCTCAGCAGCGTCATGGACACGCCAGAGTACTTCTGTGGGTGGCCCCTGCCCTGGGGAGGCCAGGCCTAGGGAAGGGGGCGCCAACACAGCGCCGCCAACACAGCAGCGGTCGACCCATCGTCGTCGCCTCCCCAGACATGCCCATTTCGCTGCGCGCCGCCAACCCAGGACGGCGCTCCGCTCGCTGACCCTGCCGCCTCCGCTGTGACCCCTCACGCCCTCCCTCTCCTTCCATCGTCGTCCCCTCCCCCCAGGGTCTGCCCCGGACCACCTGCAGGTGCTGTACAAGCGCGTGTGTGAGTACCTGGAGCTGGACCTGAGGGTGGAGGTGCTCAACACGCGGTTCATGGTGCTGCAGGTCGGTCGGTTGGTTTGGGGGGGGGGGCGATCGCGGGGTCCGGCCTGGGTGCGAGGAGGCGTGAATAAACTGGCCAAGGTGTGCGGTGTTGCGCGTCGGGGCTGGGGCGCGGGCAGGTGTGCATCGTGGGCGGGCGAGTGCGTGCCGCCAGTGCCGCAGTACAGGGGCCAGGATGAGGGTCTGTGAGGGCCGTCGCTGCCGGCATGCAGGGCGCAGAGATGGGGGCCAGGCGGGTCCTCGAGGGGTGGTGAGCTGGCGTTTGGGTCGTGCCGCCGCCCTGCCGCTCGCGCCTGCTGTCGGCGGCGCCTTGCTTACCTGGTGGGCTCCCCTCTCTCACCCCAACCCCTTGCCGCCACGCCCTGCATCTCCCCCCCCCCAGGAGTTCCTTGACCTGCTGCGGGAGCACCAGGTGTGTTTTGAGGCAGGCACGTGCAGCGCATGCTGTATTGGTGGGTGCCTGCCTGTTGCTTGGCCGGCATTCGCAGCGGACCACAGGCCGGGCATTTCTCACCACTCACATCGCTGTGCATGCCCCCCCTCCCCCTCCCCACCTGCGCACCTCTGGCAGAACAACAAGCACATGGTTCGGCTTGAGTGGTGAGTGGCTTGACGCGCCGGGCGGGGGGCACTTCACGGCGGGTCGGGCAAGCAACGGCGACGGGACGAGTGAGCAAGGCGGCGCAAGGTGCCTGCTTGCCCATTGCGACCAGTGCCTCACACCGCTTGCACCCACCGCGATGTCTTGTTTCCTCATTTACAGGGTGGTGATCTGGTTGATTGTGGTGGAGGTGAGGCGGGATCGTGGTGACGAGCGTGCCTTACCAGACGTCGCGAGAGCTGTGTCCCGCCGCGTTGAGCGTCAGCGCCCCTTGTTTGCTGGGGCAGGGGTATCCTGATGGCAGGCCTGACCAAGTCATGAAAACAGTACGAGCGCCTTGACGCACGTCCCACCCTTGCATGTTTGCCAACCAGGTGATCGTGGGGCTGTTCGAGGTGGCCGGCCTGATCGGCATCATGCCCGAGCCCGGGCACGCGCGCCGCTGAGCTGGGCGCTGCCGCTGTGCAGAGCGAGCGCGGACGCTTGGACCCGTGTGTGTTGGCGGTGGGCAGTTTTTTTGACCTTTACCAAACTTGTAGCATAGGAGTACGACCGCCCCCCCCCCCCCC